TTTCAGGTTGTTCATCAACATCTTCATCAAGTTTCAGGTTGTTCATCAACAACTTCATCAAGTTTCAGGTTGTTCATCAACATCTTCATCAAGTTTCAGGTTGTTCATCAACATCTTCATCAAGTTTCAGGTTGTTCATCAACATCTTCATCAAGTTTCAAGTTGTTCATCAACATCATCAAGTTTCAGGTTGTTCATCAACATCTTCATCAAGTTTCAGGTTGTTCATCAACATCTTCATCAAGTTTCAGGTTGTTCATCAACATCTTCATGAAGTTTCAGGTTGTTCATCAACATCTTCATCAAGTTTCAAGTTGTTCATCAACATCTTCATCAAGTTTCAGGTTGTTCATCAACATCTTCATCAAGTTTCAGGTTGTTCATCAACATCTTCATCAAGTTTCAGGTTGTTCATCAACATCTTCATCAAGTTTCAGGTTGTTCATCAACATCAAGTTTCAGGTTGTTCATCAACATCTTCATCAAGTTTCAGGTTGTTCATCAACATCTTCATCAAGTTTCAGGTTGTTCATCAACATCTTCATCAAGTTTCAGGTTGTTCATCAACATCTTCATCAAGTTTCAGGTTGTTCATCAACATCTTCATCAAGTTTCAGGTTGTTCATCAACAGCTTCATCAAGTTTCAGGTTGTTCATCAACATCTTCATCAAGTTTCAGGTTGTTCATCAACATCTTCATCAAGTTTCAGGTTGTTCATCAACATCTTCATCAAGTTTCAAGTTGTTCATCAACATCATCAAGTTTCAGGTTGTTCATCAACATCTTCATCAAGTTTCAGGTTGTTCATCAACATCTTCATCAAGTTTCAGGTTGTTCATCAACATCTTCATGAAGTTTCAGGTTGTTCATCAACATCTTCATCAAGTTTCAAGTTGTTCATCAACATCTTCATCAAGTTTCAGGTTGTTCATCAACATCTTCATCAAGTTTCAGGTTGTTCATCAACATCTTCATCAAGTTTCAGGTTGTTCATCAACATCTTCATCAAGTTTCAGGTTGTTCATCAACATCAAGTTTCAGGTTGTTCATCAACATCTTCATCAAGTTTCAGATTGTTCATCAACATCTTCATCAAGTTTCAGGTTGTTCATCAACATCTTCATCAAGTTTCAGGTTGTTCATCAACATCATCAAGTTTCAGGTTGTTCATCAACATCTTCATCAAGTTTCAGGTTGTTCATCAACATCTTCATCAAGTTTCAGGTTGTTCATCAACATCTTCATCAAGTTTCAGGTTGTTCATCAACATCTTCATCAAGTTTCAAGTTGTTCATCAACATCATCAAGTTTCAGGTTGTTCATCAACATCTTCATCAAGTTTCAGGTTGTTCATCAACATCTTCATCAAGTTTCAGGTTGTTCATCAACATCTTCATCAAGTTTCAGGTTGTTCATCAACATCTTCATCAAGTTTCAGGTTGTTCATCAACATCTTCATCAAGTTTCAGGTTGTTCATCAACATCTTCATGAAGTTTCAGGTTGTTCATCAACATCATCAAGTTTCAGGTTGTTCATCAACATCTTCATCAAGTTTCAAGTTGTTCATCAACATCAAGTTTCAGGTTGTTCATCAACATCTTCATCAAGTTTCAGGTTGTTCATCAACATCTTCATCAAGTTTCAGGTTGTTCATCAACATCTTCATCAAGTTTCAGGTTGTTCATCAACATCTTCATCAAGTTTCAGGTTGTTCATCAACATCATCAAGTTTCAGGTTGTTCATCAACATCTTCATCAAGTTTCAGGTTGTTCATCAACATCTTCATGAAGTTTCAGGTTGTTCATCAACATCTTCATCAAGTTTCAAGTTGTTCATCAACATCTTCATCAAGTTTCAGGTTGTTCATCAACATCTTCATCAAGTTTCAGGTTGTTCATCAACATCTTCATCAAGTTTCAGGTTGTTCATCAACATCTTCATCAAGTTTCAGGTTGTTCATCAACATCATCAAGTTTCAGGTTGTTCATCAACATCTTCATCAAGTTTCAGGTTGTTCATCAACATCTTCATGAAGTTTCAGGTTGTTCATCAACATCTTCATCAAGTTTCAGGTTGTTCATCAACATCTTCATCAAGTTTCAGGTTGTTCATCAACATCTTCATCAAGTTTCAGGTTGTTCATCAACATCTTCATCAAGTTTCAGGTTGTTCATCAACATCTTCATCAAGTTTCAGGTTGTTCATCAACATCTTCATCAAGTTTCAGGTTGTTCATCAACATCTTCATGAAGTTTCAGGTTGTTCATCAACATCATCAAGTTTCAGGTTGTTCATCAACATCTTCATCAAGTTTCAGGTTGTTCATCAACATCATCAAGTTTCAGGTTGTTCATCAACAGCTTCATCAAGTTTCAGGTTGTTCATCAACATCTTCATCAAGTTTCAGGTTGTTCATCAACATCTTCATCAAGTTTCAGGTTGTTCATCAACATCTTCATCAAGTTTCAGGTTGTTCATCAACATCTTCATCAAGTTTCAGGTTGTTCATCAACATCTTCATCAAGTTTCAGGTTGTTCATCAACATCATCAAGTTTCAGGTTGTTCATCAACATCTTCATCAAGTTTCAGGTTGTTCATCAACATCTTCATCAAGTTTCAGGTTGTTCATCAACATCATCAAGTTTCAGGTTGTTCATCAACATCTTCATCAAGTTTCAGGTTGTTCATCAACATCTTCATCAAGTTTCAGGTTGTTCATCAACATCAAGTTTCAGGTTGTTCATCAACATCTTCATCAAGTTTCAGGTTGTTCATCAACATCTTCATCAAGTTTCAGGTTGTTCATCAACATCATCAAGTTTCAGGTTGTTCATCAACATCTTCATCAAGTTTCAGGTTGTTCATCAACATCTTCATCAAGTTTCAGGTTGTTCATCAACATCTTCATCAAGTTTCAGGTTGTTCATCAACATTTTCATCAAGTTTCAGGTTGTTCATCAACATCAAGTTTCAGGTTGTTCATCAACATCTTCATCAAGTTTCAGGTTGTTCATCAACATCTTCATCAAGTTTCAGGTTGTTCATCAACATCAAGTTTCAGGTTGTTCATCAACATCTTCATCAAGTTTCAGGTTGTTCATCAACATCTTCATCAAGTTTCAGGTTGTTCATCAACATCTTCATCAAGTTTCAGGTTGTTCATCAACATCTTCATCAAGTTTCAGGTTGTTCATCAACATCATGAAGTTTCAGGTTGTTCATCAACATCTTCATCAAGTTTCAGGTTGTTCATCAACATCTTCATCAAGTTTCAGGTTGTTCATCAACATCTTCATTTATTATATGAAAATAATTTAATAAAACTTCAGCTAATAGTACTGCAAATAATAATAATAATAATAATAATAATAATAATAATAATATTATTATTATTATAATCAAGGGGGAAGCGCTAAACCCGGAGGATTATACAGCGCCTGTGGGGGGATGTGGAAGGCATTCAGGCTTAATTCGGGGAACTGGAGCACAGATCCAATTCCCTAAATCAAGAGCCCCTCACCAACATCAAGGAACCTTCCTTGAGGGGAATAATAATAATAATAATAATAATAATGACTTCATAAAAAATGGGTAATACTTAAATTATGAAAAATATAAGATTTAGCATACCATTTTTTACTTATTATTATTATAATCATGGGGGAGCACTAAACCTGTATAGATTATACAATGCCTGTGGGGGGGGGGGGATGGAAGGTATTCAGACTTAATTCAGGGAATTGGAGCACAGATCCAATTACCTGGATCAAGAGCCCCTCACCAGCATCAAGGAACCTCCCTTGAGGGGAACCATTTTTTATTGAAACTGTCGATATCATTAACATTTACATACTGTCCCCCAGCCATTTATCAACACCTTTGATAGTCCCATTGACCCTTAGGGATCAGTATTGATCATTTGGGGAAACCCTGGTTTACAGCATCCCAATAAGTGAATCAGACCTACTAAAAACCCATAAAACAGCCTGGGGTTATAAGGAGGCCTTACCCATCCTCTGGAATATTGACAAAAATTTAAAATTTCCGAATTTTGAGCTCAGGTTCAAGCCACTTCCAGTCTTGAAACCAATCAAAATCATCTCTATTTCAGTACTGTAATATGTTTTCCATTCTATCAAATATTACTAAGAACCAGCCAATAAAACCATAAAAACCATCAGAGAAAACACTGCCAAGTCACTATTTTAAGCCATACACACAGTTTTGTTTTTCCCATCATGCACTGTGGGGCAGGATTTTTTTGTAAGGTATACACTCATCACACAGACCCATTCTCTCATATCTAGGCCAAAATTTACCATTCACAGCTTAACTGAGCAAGCTGAACTCATGATGTATTATTATTATTATTATCATCAAGGGGGAAGCGCTAAACCCGGAGGATTATACAGCAACTCATGATGTAGAACTACATGACAGACTCTGGCCTTGGTGTCATAGTTCTGTGATGCCCAGTGGAGGGTTAAATATACCAACCTTCTTCTAACTAGCATACGTACGTGAGTATTGAATATTGGTAGTGACCTCAGCTCTCAGTGTGAGAGCTGAGGTCACTACAAGATTGAGCCATTCCCCATACTCCTCTGAGGAGCATTTGAGTCCTGGAGGTGGGAAGTACAATGCCTGCACTCTATAGGAGGGGTTTGGGATACGTATTTGCTGTGTGGACAGACATCTGAACTTTTGTATCTGCATACCTCTGGCAAGACAGTGATAGTGTGAAAATATTTCTTTTTCAAGTCACCCTGCCTCAATGGGGGACAGCCAGCATGTTAGAAAAAAAAAATTCCAAATGCTCTCCATGGGGAAGTGAAGAAGAATCCTTCCTCTACAAGCCTTGCATGTCGTAAGAGGTGATTAAAATGCCAGGAGCAAGGGGCTAGTGTTTCTTTATATTTCTGGGTCACACTACCTCAATGGGAAATGGCCCGTGTGTAAAAAAAAAATCAAGGTAATAAATAATATTTTAAGGAAGTGAAACTAAGTTTTTACATTTCATTTATTGAAATGCATATACACTTTATAAAGAAAAATAACACAAGCTCTATAAGTGCCTAGAGTCATTGCAAACACTCAATGAGTTTGTTTTTCTATCTCAAATTGCTTTATAATAAATATATTTTAACCAGTAATATACTGAAAAAATTTTTGGTAAATTCTATTTATCCATTAACAAATTATTTATAAATTATTTATATAAATCTTCTAAAATCCACTACTTAAAATTCTATCACTTCACATTATAACAAATAAGATATACAATTTTTTTTTATATCTTTCAAGAATATTATAGACAAACTTGCTATACTAAACATTATATAAAATATCAAATCTAGATTTTTCTTAAAAAACTCAAAAACCTTAAATTTTTTTTTTTTTTTTTTTTTTTTAGCAAAGGCACATTTTTTCCAAATCAAGAATGAGCACCAACACAAATATCTTTAATTTTTATAAAATATAAATGAGTAACAGAAGGTAAGTGCTCTATACAGTACTTATGTATATCCACAACGAAACCATTAAATGGCAACAAACTTTTAGATGACATTTTGATCCGTCCTTGACTAGCCATCGCAAGTGGAACTGATGGTGGTCCAGGATGAATTGAATCGTCATCTATTGTTTTGTCCTCAAATTACTGGGTAGTTATTGTTCTAGCCACAATACTGTAAACGCAACCCCTTTTTTTCGGTGTTCCATGTTCTCGTTGGCTTCAGATTGAGCCAACAATTGTCACCAGCAGGTGGAACAATGGCTCAACTGAAAGCCAACAAAAACATGGAACACTGACAATAGGTGCTGTATTTGCAGCACCCTCCTACTGTAGTGCGTCTAGTGTATTGAGAATACAGTATTGTACAGTACTTTACTTACTAAAAATGAACAATTTGCTGCCATAGCAATTTATTTTGCAAGACTTATATTTTAAACAATTCCCTTAGCTGCTTCAGTGAAACTTTGTCCAGAAATCTAAATTCCATCTTATTCACCACAAAAGCTATAGTTGCAAATTGCATATGCTAGTATTGATATATTTAAAAGTACTAACACTATTACAAAGAGTTCTAAACACATTACAAATAAAAGGAATTTGATGATCTAGCACTGAAATTCCATCCTCATAAAAGGCTTCAGCATCAAATAATTAGGCATTTAAAGATAAATATATTGCAAGAAAAATAGTTGATAAGCCTTTTCATGCACGTAAATAAAAAGATAAAATAAGTAGAGGGTGATATAGTTTACAACTCAAAATGGTACCAATATAGAGTATTGTACCATAATGCACGTAAATCTAAATTCTGATTTATGTTTAAAAGAGAGATACAATAAAATTCAATATAGTATATAAATAATGTAAGCATAATAAAGGTCATGTATTAATGACAATAAAAGCAGCCCAATATCTATGACTGAAAACATCCCACTTTAATGTAATAACTCATTAAAAATACAAATAGTTTTGTAATGCATATATGATATTCTAAAAACATGACTGGAAAGGCACATACATCTCTTATTTTGATACTGTGTTATGAATTGCATTTATGAATCTCATTGCAATATGAGAAGCATTAAAGTGAGAATAACTTTTATATTATTCACTGTATCATTTGTTCTGTCACTCAGTAATGTGTGATTTAGAATGTTAAGAGAACAACTGCAAAGGAATTTTTGTAATTCTCTTAAGCAAGTGACTTCCTACAGAGTAAGATGTGTTAAGGCAATTTAGGATTGGTGGTTGGCGTATGAGTGGAGAAAGACATGCTCGGTATAGCAAGACGGAAGACTTTCATTGTTGCAACCTTCTATAACGAGAGTTAAGTGTATTATCCATACTTTATAATAGACATACTGATAACAACACAATGTCTAAATAATAGCTCTTTTTTTTTAAAGTGCTTAACAGTTCCTCCTGTAGGTGAAACGTTTTTATAGAAGGTCTTCAGCTGCTAAATATACATGACATGTTCATATAAGGTCCTTGTTAAAACTGTTGTTTTCCCACCATGATGTAGGGGTCTTCACTTTACCTTCAATATAAACACACATATAGCAAGTTTGGTGGCAACTATCGCCAGAAAATACGGTAAAAACCACTATGTGTACAGCAAACTCGTATTTACAGATGGCATTTTACTAAGTAAAGGTCTACTCTGATTGAATTATTGTATATAAATAACTGTTTGCTTTGAATGATGCCTTTATACCATGTGAATGATAGGTTTCTAACTTATAACTGAGTTGCATTCCTGTTTCTCATTTACAAAAGAGTTGATGTACAAAAAACAATACGTACATACAGTAGACCCCCGGTTTACGATATTATTTCATTCCAGAAGTATGTTCAGGTGCCAGTACTGACTGAATTTGTTCCCATAAGGAATATTGTGAATTAGAGTAGTCCATTTCAGACCCCTAAACATACACATACAAACGCACTTACATAAATACATTTATATAATTGGTTGCATTGGGAGCAGATCGTAAACCGGGGGTCCACTGTACTACAAAGGATAACTATGCAGTGTCACAAGATAGTGACACTGCTGTAAAACTTGAACTGCTACCATGTACCTCGTTTGTAAGTACATGTATATGTATGGCAGGAGTGTGTAACTTGTGGCATTTGTAAGTGCAGTTGTAACTTAAGGCATTTACAAGTGCAAATGTGTGTACTTTATGGCATTTTTAAGTGCAGATGTATGTAATTTATGGCATTTGTAAGTTGGAGACCTCCTTTACTAGGACTTACATGAGCATTGGACTTCACTTTTACTCCAAGGCAAAACTGATATGGTGGCCAACTGGTAAATACATTAAAGCAGTGAATTTAAATAATAATATTCATGCTACATCCTTCTGATAATTTCCAACATATGACACTAAATTTAAAGCTTTTCAGCTGCCATCGCTGTATGACCCATAAGGGTTTGGCACATCTTTGTGGATATAATAATACTATTCAACCGCCTTAATTTGGCTCTCATTCCAAATCACACCTGATATTGTAACCACAGAAAATTTACTGTGCTACCTTCTTAACGTCGACTGTCTTCGAGCCTACGATGTCAAACAGTTCCTTGGAATTGAAGGTTGCAATGATCTTACGTTCTCCATGGATGCGAGGCAGGAATTGAACAGTGTGACTGAACACTCCCTTAGGTGGCACCACACTGCAAAGTACAAGTTAGGTTATGTAGTTAACAATTACCGCTATCTGATTACAATTTGTTTTAACACATCGGCCATTTCCCACTGAGGTAGAGTGGTCCAAAAAAGAAGAAGAAACATTTTCATCATCATTCACTCCATCATTGTCTTGCCAGAGGCATGCCAATACTTCAGTTCAAACACTGCAATGTACCTCCACCCTGCTTCAGAGTGCAGGCACTGTACTTCCCACCTCCAGGACTCAAGTCCAGCTAACTTGTTTCCCTGAGTTCCTTCATAAATTCATGTAGATGACAGAAAATATTTACTGAAGCAGATATTATGATAAAAAATTTAAATTTGGGGATAATGAATATCTGATTTTCCTTACACAAGAAGAAATACAGTAAAGTTTTACCTTTTAGGAACTTAATGTTTCATAAATATAAAACTGTGAGTTAAATTTTCCTTACACAAGAAGAAATACAGTAAAGTTTTACCTTTTAGGAACTTAATGTTTCATAAATATAAAACTGTGAGTTAAATTTCAATTTTTAAAACACTTTTGGAAAATTTGCATTGTTTGAGAAGTAATGCTTAAGGGGATCTTTAGACAGTTATTTCTGTACTTCATATTTTTTATATTAAGATTCAAAGTTTATTCTCTATAAGGATTACAATGCTGAGTTTACAGAAATTTGGTTATTGTTTGGTTTACATGTAGTAAAATTGTGATTACAGAGTGTACCACTAGAACACTTAGCATGGCTAGGTATTTCAGGCAGACTTAGTTTTAGTTTAAGAATACAGTATCACAAAAATGAGGAAAGCCCAGTCATCAAGATGGCAAAAGACTCACTGATGCAGTAGAGTTTGTTGAGTACCAGTGAACCAGAGTTTGTTGAGTACCAGTGAAGTAGGGTTTGTTGAGTACTAGTGAAGTAGAGTTTGTTGAGTACCAGTGAAGTTGAGATTGTTGAGTACTAGTGAAGTAGAGTTTGTTGGGTACCAGTGAAGTTGAGATTGTTGAGTACTAGTGAAGTAGAGTTTGTTGAGTACCAGTGAAGTTGAGATTGTTGAGTACTAGTGAAGTAGAGTTTGTTGAGTACCAGTGAACCAGAGTTTGTTGAGTACCAGTGAAGTAGGGTTTGTTGAGTACTAGTGAAGTAGAGTTTGTTGAGTACCAGTGAACCAGAGTTTGTTGAGTACCAGTGAAGTAGGGTTTGTTGAGTACTAGTGAAGTAGAGTTTGTTGAGTACCAGTGAAGTTGAGATTGTTGAGTACTAGTGAAGTAGAGTTTGTTGAGTACCAGTGAACCAGAGTTTGTTGAGTACCAGTGAAGTAGAGTTTGTTGAGTACTAGTGAAGTAGAGTTTGTTGAGTACCAGTGAACCAGAGTTTGTTGAGTACCAGTGAAGTAGAGTTTGTTGAGTACTAGTGAAGTAGAGTTTGTTGAGTACCAGTGAACCAGAGTTTGTTGAGTACCAGTGAAGTAGGGTTTGTTGAGTATCAGTGAAGTAGGGTTTGTTGAGTACCAGTGAACCAGAGTTTGTTGAGTACCAGTGAAGTTGAGATTGTTGAGTACTAGTGAAGTAGAGTTTGTTGAGTACTAGTGAAGTAGAGTTTGTTGAGTACCAGTGAAGTTGAGATTGTTGAGTACTAGTGAAGTAGAGTTTGTTGAGTACCAGTGAAGTTGAGATTGTTGAGTACTAGTGAAGTAGGGTTTGTTGAGTACTAGTGAAGTAGGGTTTGTTGAGTACTAGTGAAGTAGGGTTTGTTGAGTACCAGTGAAGTAGAGTTTGTTGAGTACTAGTGAAGTAGAGTTTGTTGAGTACCAGTGAAGTTGAGATTGTTGAGTACTAGTGAAGTAGAGTTTGTTGAGTACCAGTGAAGTTGAGATTGTTGAGTACTAGTGAAGTAGAGTTTGTTGAGTACCAGTGAAGTAGGGTTTGTTGAGTACCAGTGAACCAGAGTTTGTTGAGTACCAGTGAAGTAGGGTTTGTTGAGTACTAGTGAAGTAGAGTTTGTTGAGTACCAGTGAAGTTGAGTTTGTTGAGTACCAGTGAACCAGAGTTTGTTGAGTACCAGTGAAGTTGAGATTGTTGAGTACTAGTGAAGTAGGGTTTGTTGAGTACTAGTGAAGTAGGGTTTGTTGAGTACTAGTGAAGTAGGGTTTGTTGAGTACTAGTGAAGTAGGGTTTGTTGAGTACCAGTGAAGTAGAGTTTGTTGAGTACCAGTGAAGTAGAGTTTGTTGAGTACCAGTGAACCAGAGTTTGTTGAGTACCAGTGAAGTAGGGTTTGTTGAGTACTAGTGAAGTAGAGTTTGTTGAGTACCAGTGAAGTTGAGATTGTTGAGTACCAGTGAAGTAGAGTTTGAGTACCAGTGAACCAGAGTTTGTTGAGTACCAGTGAAGTAGGGTTTGTTGAGTACTAGTGAAGTAGGGTTTGTTGAGTACTAGTGAAGTAGGGTTTGTTGAGTACTAGTGAAGTAGGGTTTGTTGAGTACCAGTGAAGTAGAGTTTGTTGAGTACTAGTGAAGTAGGGTTTGTTGAGTACCAGTGAAGTAGAGTTTGTTGAGTACCAGTGAAGTTGAGATTGTTGAGTACTAGTGAAGTAGAGTTTGTTGGGTACCAGTGAAGTTGAGATTGTTGAGTACTAGTGAAGTAGAGTTTGTTGGGTACCAGTGAAGTAGGGTTTGTTGAGTACTAGTGAAGTAGAGTTTGTTGAGTACCAGTGAAGTAGGGTTTGTTGAGTACCAGTGAACCAGAGTTTGAGTACCAGTGAAGTAGGGTTTGTTGAGTACTAGTGAAGTAGAGTTTGTTGAGTACCAGTGAAGTTGAGATTGTTGAGTACTAGTGAAGTAGAGTTTGTTGGGTACCAGTGAAGTTGAGATTGTTGAGTACTAGTGAAGTAGAGTTTGTTGAGTACCAGTGAAGCAGAGTTTGGTGGGTACCAGTGAAGTAGGGTTTGTTGAGTACTAGTGAAGTAGAGTTTGTTGAGTACCAGTGAAGTTGAGATTGTTGAGTACTAGTGAAGTAGAGTTTGTTGGGTACCAGTGAAGTTGAGATTGTTGAGTACTAGTGAAGTAGAGTTTGTTGGGTACCAGTGAAGTTGAGATTGAGTACTAGTGACGTAGAGTTTGTTGAGTACCAGTGAAGCAGAGTTTGTTGGGTACCAGTGAAGTAGGGTTTGAGTACTAGTGAAGTAGAGTTTGTTGAGTACCAGTGAAGTTGAGATTGTTGAGTACTAGTGAAGTAGAGTTTGTTGGGTACCAGTGAAGTTGAGATTGAGTACTAGTGAAGTAGAGTTTGTTGAGTACCAGTGAACCAGAGTTTGTTGAGTACCAGTGAAGTAGGGTTTGTTGAGTACTAGTGAAGTAGAGTTTGTTGAGTACCAGTGAAGTAGAGTTTGTTGAGTACTAGTGAAGTAGAGTTTGTTGAGTACCAGTGAAGTTGAGATTGTTGAGTACTAGTGAAGTAGAGTTTGTTGCGTACCAGTGAAGTTGAGATTGTTGAGTACTAGTGAAGTAGAGTTTGTTGGGTACCAGTGAAGTTGAGATTGTTGAGTACTAGTGAAGTAGAGTTTGTTGGGTACCAGTGAAGTTGAGATTGTTGAGTACTAGTGACGTAGAGTTTGTTGAGTACCAGTGAAGCAGAGTTTGTTGGGTACCAGTGAAGTAGGGTTTGAGTACTAGTGAAGTAGAGTTTGTTGAGTACCAGTGAAGTTGAGATTGTTGAGTACTAGTGAAGTAGAGTTTGTTGGGTACCAGTGAAGTTGAGATTGTTGAGTACTAGTGAAGTAGAGTTTGTTGAGTACCAGTGAACCAGAGTTTGTTGAGTACCAGTGAAGTAGGGTTTGTTGAGTACTAGTGAAGTAGAGTTTGTTGAGTACCAGTGAAGTAGGGTTTGTTGAGTACTAGTGAAGTAGAGTTTGTTGAGTACCAGTGAAGTTGAGATTGTTGAGTACTAGTGAAGTAGAGTTTGTTGCGTACCAGTGAAGTTGAGATTGTTGAGTACTAGTGAAGTAGAGTTTGTTGAGTACCAGTGAAGCAGAGTTTGTTGGGTACCAGTGAAGTTGAGATTGAGTACTAGTGAAGTAGAGTTTGTTGGGTACCAGTGAAGTAGAGTTTGTTGGGTACCAGTGAAGTTGAGATTGTTGAGTACTAGTGAAGTAGAGTTTGTTGAGTACCAGTCAAGTAGGGTTTGTTGAGTACCAGTGAAGCAGAGTTTGTTGAGTACCAGTGAAGTAGAGTTTGTTGAGTACCAGTGAAGTAGGGTTTGTTGAGTACCAGTGAAGTAGAGTTTGTTGAGTACCAGTGAAGTTGAGATTGTTGAGTACTAGTGAAGTTGAGATTGTTGAGTACCAGTGAAGTAGGGTTTGTTGAGTACTAGTGAAGTAGAGTTTGTTGAGTACCAGTGAAGTAGGGTTTGTTGAGTACCAGTGAAGTAGGGTTTGTTGAGTACCAGTGAAGCAGAGTTTGTTGAGTACCAGTGAAGCAGAGTTTGTTGAGTACCAGTAAAGTAGAGTTTGTTGAGTACCAGTGAAGCAGAGTTTGTTGAGTACCAGTGAAGCAGAGTTTGTTGGGTACCAGTGAAGTAAAGTTTGTTGAGTACCAGTGAAGTAAAGTTTGTTTAGTACCAGTGATGAAGAGTTTGTTGAGTACCAGTGCAGTAAAATTTGTTGAGTACCAGTGCAGAAGAGTTTGTTGAGTATCAGTGTAGTAGTTTGTTTAGTACCAGTGCAGCAGAGTTTATTTAGTACCAGTGAAGTAGAGTATGTTAAGTAGAGTTTGTTTAGTAGTAGAACTTAAACAACAGTAAATCCTTGATTTAACAGAATAATGGGGAGTTAACATAATCTTCAACTTACCTATCAATTTTGATTGCTTTTGGACGCATTAAGCCGGCACCGTCCACACTGAGCTGACACTCTGTGAGGGGCACATCCAGTGGGTTGGTGAAGGAGAGTGTTGCTTCACTCATCTTCTTCACCTGCACTTCCTCAGGAGTCTGTCAAGATTTTAAGTTAACTTTAAAATCCATATGACTATAATTAAGTAATTCATATGTTGGGATAGGTTTGATTGAATGATTTCAGGTAGGAATTGTATAAGTTGCATGATGTACCTGTAGAAATAAAGATTATTACAGTAGTACCCCAAGTTTCGGCCATAAATCGTTCCAGAAGGCTGTTCGAGTGCCGTTACCAAATGAATTTGTTCCCATAAGGAATAATGCAAATTAGATTAGTCCATTTCAGACCCCCAAAAATACACTTAAAAAAAAACACTTACAATAATACATTTACATAATTGTTCGAGTTGGGAACTGTATGAAACTCGGGGTGCCACTGTATTATTATTATAATACTCGGTCTGTTATCGGATTACCGAACCGCTCTCCAAATTCACTCATCCAAACTCATCTCAACATATAAGGTCTAGAATTAGTCTATATGAAAGGCTTTGCATAATAAGGGGCTTTCCTTATATTGTCTACCTTAGAAAACTTAATATAATCTATACAGTGGACCCCCGGTTAACGATTTTAATCCGTGCAAGAGGGGTAATTGTTATGCGAAATAATCGCTATGTGAATGAATTTTCCCCATAAGAAATAATGGAAATCAAATTAATCCGTGCAAGACACCCAAAGTATGAAAAAAAAAATTTTACCACATGAAATATACATTTTCCCACACACAAAGAGAAGGATACATGCACAATAGTAGAGTAGTACATGCACAATATATATTGTGCATGTACTACTCTACTAAATGAAGAATAAATGACACTTACCTTTATTGAAGATGCAGCAATGACTGATGAGACACTGTGTCCTGGGAGTGCCTTTTCCTCCTCAGTACTGTAGGTCCTGTTTGGCATTTTCTTCCAGAACAGGCCTTATCACATTGTGTATGCCACTACGATTCTTAAATCTCTCAAACCAACCTTTGCTGGCTTTAAATTCACCATATGTGCACTAGTTCCAGGCATTTTTCCCTGTTCACCTGGGTGTTAGTCGACTTGTGTGGGTTGCATCCTGGGAGACAAGATTAAGGACCCCAATGGAAATAAGTTAGACAGTCTTCGATGACACTGACTTTTTTGGGTTATCCTGGGTGGCAAATCCTCTGGGGTTAATTGTTTCTTGGTATTCTCAATAAGCCACACCAACAACGGTGCTACAGCAGCAGCAGCAGCTGACAGTGCAGCAGCAGCAGCAGCTGTACCACCAATAGTAGCGATGGTTGATTGGGGTTTATTATACAACCTGGCCAGCTCGGAGACATGCACTCCACTTTCATACTTATCAATGATCTTTTCTTCATCTCTATTGTAATTCTCACCCTTATTGCTGTAGGGTTGGCACTAGAAGCTTTCTTGGGGCCCATGGTCACTTATTTTCCAGAAAAAGCACCGAAAACACTGTAATAATACGAAATATTCCGATTGTATGCTTGGATGTTACCGCGGAGGCTGGCTGGTAAACAATGCCACCGGCGGAACATGTGAGCGTGGCTCAGGCCGCACATTGGACGCGTCTCGGACGAAAATCGGTAAGCGGGTTTTTAAGCGGTATGTGAGGCAAAATTTTTGCAATTAAAGTAAGCGGTATGCGAAATAATCGCTATGTGATGCCATCGTTATGCGGGGGTCCACTGTATTCCTAAAATTGTAACCAACCTGAAACTTTATAAATTTTAAGTCAATCCACTGTAACCTTCATATTTTCTAATGTACATGTATTGTTATTTTAGTTCTGTTTCATACCGCAACTAGGGAGATGAAGTACAGTGGACCCCCGGTTCGCGATGCTATTGGTATCCGATAAATCCGGTATCCGATGCATTATATTGCAAAAAATTTGCCTCGGTTCCCGTTACAAAACTCAGTATGTGATACGATTCATATGAGACGTGTCCACGTGTGGTCTGAACTGCCCCGTGTGTGCCAGTGTTTACAAGCCAGCCAGTGTGCGCGCATCTAAGGATACATTCGGTACATTCCATATTATCCATATTATCACTGTTTTTGGTGCTTGTTTCTGCAAAATAAGTCACCATGGGTCCCAAGAAAGCTTCTAGTGCCAACCCTGTGGTAAAAAGGGTGAGAATTAGTATGGAAATTAAGAAAGATTTTGAAGGGTTTGGGGCTAACCCTGAGAAGCCTATGCCAGTTGTGGAATCCATTGTGCCTACTTCAAAAATTAAGGAAATGTGTGCCCAGTGGGTTGAACTGCACACCTTTATGGATGAAAATCACCCTAACTATTGCATTAAACTTAATATTTCATGTGGTAAAAGTTTTTTTTTTCATACTTTTGGGTGTCTTGCATGGATTAATTTGATTTCCATTATTTCTTAAAGGGAAAATTGATTCGCTTTCCGATAATTTTGGTTTACAATGAGCTCTCAGGAACGGATTAATATCGCGAACTGGGGGTCCACTGTAATTATACAACTTTACATATAGAATTTGTATACTGTACCAAAAATTCTAATACAGTACCTTTAGCATCAAATCAACCCAGCTGGTCATGAGCTCTTAATCTTTGGAATATGAGCTAACATCCCATGCCTTGGATCAAACATAATTACCTCTCATTTCTATTTCTTGATAATGTCACAGGATAAATCACAATGATTTTCTGCTTCATCTCCAACTTGTGGATTAGTTGTGAACACTTGCAGCCACAGTATTGTAACTTGTATTCTAACTCAGAGTAATTATCTTTTACTTTCTCCATTTTTGTTGTAGCAGTTGTGGCATCTATGGAGCACTCTGATCATGTAGATCACTCAGTGCTCAAAGTCATGAAAAACTATGCAGCCTCTCCTCACTTAACGATGGAGTTCCATTCCTAAGACCAAGTTGGTAAACGAATTCATTGCTAAGTGAGGAGTGTACTATAATGTTTGTGTCAACCATCGTTGATATTGCTTTAATGTCACCTCTGCACCATTTATAACATTTCTGGTATATTTTTAAATGTTTACACAGTAGTGTACTATATAATGAAATAAACAGTATAGAGGAAATCAGCTCTAATATACATTATTTAGGTATGCAAACTGGTCAGAGAGCCCATCATAAGTCCGAGGCATTGGTAAACGAGTACGTCGCTAAGTGAGGAGAGGCTGTACACACAACACACATTACACATAGGAGAGAGGAGCTTACAATGATGTTTCAGTCCAACTTGCCCTTCTCACACTATACCATTCACTCATTTATCCATACCTCACCTATGCTATTTGTGCTTGGGGATCAACTGCAGCAACACACCTAAAGCCAATAATAACTCAACAAAAAGCTGTAGTAAGAATAATCACTAAATCCCATCCCTGGCAACACACCCCCCCACTCTTCATAGATCTAAACTTACTCCCTGTTCAGAACATCCACATTTACTACTGTGCAATCTACATATACATGACCTTAAATTCCAATATTAACCTTGACCTAAAATGCTTTCTTGATAGTTGTGACAGGACCCACAGTTATAACACCAGACACAAACATCTCTACAACATTCCCAGTGTCCGACTAAACCTTTACAAAAATTCAATGTATGTCAAAAGCCCTAAAATCTGGAACACCCTACCTGAAAACTCTAGAACTGCAGACACATTCATCACCTTCAAAACTACCATTAGAAAACATCTTATCTCCCTGATACACCCTGTCAATTAACTACATAAAAACCACCTGGTGGTTCACACTTACACTCACTCACTCACCCATTTGACTGTAAGTACAGAAATATGTATCTTAATCTTAAAATAATGATTCCTAACTAGTCATAAGTTTGCCTGTGATACTCCAATATAGAAACTATGTATTGTGCCAAAACATAAGCATTCACATTGCTAAACTCACAAACTAGTATTTAGTCACTTAGGATTTAGTCAACTTACTCCACAATTTGTAATAATTTAGGGTTAAGAATTAATCTAAGTTTGCCCGAAACGCCTAGCCATGCTAGGTGTTCTAGTGGCCCCCTCTGTAATTAGTATTTTATTACAAGTAAACCACACAATAACCAAAATCTGTAAACCCTGCATTGTAATCCTTATAGAGAATAAACTTTGATTGATTGATTGATTTACAAAGTGTGTGACTTTGTACATGGTCCAAGTCAGACCGAAACATCATCATAAGCTCCTCTCCTATGTGAGTTATTTGTGTATTGTTCCAGTCAAGGTATTGTGCCTTTTTCTTCTTCATATACAACACATATACAATAAAAGCAAGGATAAAATTACCATAACACATAATAAAAGCAGTGAACATACACATGCAACACAAACAACTGAAGATCACTGAACCAGTTTGAAGTATTAGTACATTGTACATGTACTTAAAATTGTACTATTGTTCATTTAGCTACCTCACTTTTATACACTTAAAAACTTCTTAATAACCTTTGTCTAGTTCTTAAGTAGTCTTTAAGCATTAGGATTAGTCTGCCTGAAATACAGCTTTAGTCTGCAGAAATGCAGCTTTAATTTACATTAAATGCAGCTTTAGTCTGCCTGAAATGCAGCTTAAATCTGCTTGAATTGCAACACATAATAGTGGCTTTCTTTTGTGCTTAACACTATCTTATTACATGCAAACTACATTACCTGTATACTTCAGACAATAAATAAATTATTTGCAGTTGAATTATTAAATTTTTAGGGAATAAATTATTTGTACTTTGCTCATTATACTTTCTGTGCTTGGCTGTCATCCTCTGTATGATATATACAACAAATTATTAGAGTATTTTTACCTCAATATTTAGTGTGGGCTTTTCTACTTGGAAGTCGTCCTCATCCGTCCAAGTCTGACCAGTTTCTTTTACACAACAAATGGTGTAAATCTTTATCATGCACTGCTCTACCATCTTCTTCCAGTACTCACTATACTTGACTGTCAGTGACACATCCTGCAAATTTATAACATTATTACTATATAATTTTAATTATGTTGCAGTTTTTTGACTAGTGTATGCATGCCTCTGGCAAGACAGTGATAGAATGAATGGTGATGAAAGTGTTTCTTCCTTTTTTCAGGGCACCCTGCCCTGGTGGGAAGCAGTCGATGTGTTAAAAAATAAAATTAATTATTAATAAATAAGTGTATTCTGGAAAGAGACTGAATGAATGATGGTGAGTATGTTTTCTTCTCTGGGTCACCCTGCCTTGGTGGAAGATGGCTGTTAAGGTAAAAAAAAAAAATGCATTTTTTTAAACTGTCTCCCACCGAGGCAAGATGACCCCAAAAAGAAGAAACACTTTTACCATGACTCACTCCATCACTGTGAATCTTGAGACATCTATAAACTCTGGGTAGACTATTATATATAGTATAAAATACTGGAAAGTTGATGATTAAGACTAATGTGCAACACTCAAATATCTTTAAGATTACCTCAAGTAACCTTTCTACTTTCTCTACTCTCTCCAGACATGTTGCATGTCTTACTTACACAGTGTTGGTAGTGTCTTACTTACACAGTGTTGGTCGTGTCTTACTTACACAGTGTTGGTCGTGTCTTACTCACACAGTGTTGGTCGTGTCTTACTCACACAGTGTTGGTCGTGTCTTACTTACACAGTGTTGGTTGTCTTACTCACACAGTGTTGGTCATGTCTTACTCACACAGTATTGGGAGTGTCTTACTCACACAGTGTTGGTAGTGTCTTACTCACACAGTGTTGGTAGTGTCTTACTCACACAGTGTTGGTCGTGTCTTACTCATACAGTGTTTGTCGTGTCTTACTCACATAGTGTTGGTAGTGCCTTACTCACGTAGTGTTGGTAGTGTCTTACTCACATAGTGTTGGTCGTGTCTTACTCACATAGTGTTGGTTGTGTCTTACTCACAAAGTGTTGGTAGTGTCTTACTCATATAGTGTTTGTCGTGTCTTACTCACATAGTGTTAGTCATGTCTTACTCACATTGTGTTGATCGTGTCTTACTCACATAGTGTTGGTTGTGTCTTACTCACAGTGTTGGTTGTGTCTTACTCGCATAGTGTTGGTTGTGTCTTACTCACAGTGTTGGTCGTGTCTTACTCACAGTGTTGGTTGTGTCTTACTCACATAGTGTTGGTCATGTCTTACTCACATTGTGTTGATCATGTCTTACTCACATAGTGTTGGTTGTGTCTTACTCACAGTGTTGGTCGTGTCTTACCCACATAGTGTTGGTTGTGTCTTACTCACATAGTGTTGGTAGTGTCTTATTCACCAAGTGTTGGCTGTGTCTTACTCACATAGTGTTGGCTGTGTCTTACTCACATAGTGTTGCTTGTGTCTTATTCACATAGTGTTGGTAGTGTCTTACTCACATAGTGTTGGTAGTGTCTTACTCACATATTGTTGGTAGTGTCTTACTCACATGGTGTTGGTAGTATCTTACCCACATAGTGTTGGTAGCATCTTACTCACATAGTGTTGGTAGCATCTTACTCACATAGTGTTGGTAGTGTCTTACTCACATAGTGTTGGTAGCATCTTACTCACATAGTGTTGGTAGCATCTTACTCACATAGTGTTGGTAGTGTCTTACATGGTATTGGTCATGTCTTACTCACCTAGTGCTGTCTGTGTGTCTTACTCATCAAACTCTTTATGTTACCTGTTTATTCTTCACCAGACAGTCATACAATACTGAAGCAACATACCCGAGATTGTTGAGGATTGAGGACGAAGGTTCCTTCGGCCTTCTTAATGAGGGATGCACTGACACCAGTGTAGTAAATAGACTGGGCTGAGAGGAAAGCGCTGACTTTTCTTTGCTGATCAGAATCGTTTCGGATCACAACCTACCATAGAATAAATTTGTATTGCATTTTTGAAAAGAAAAATGCAAAGCTTAAGAATAATGATTTATCAATTAAATATAAGAAAAACTGGAAACAACATTATTTGTAAGATAGATTTTTATTTTTTTAGATTTTGCCACCGAAGTGGCTAGTTTATTGTGCACCCCATATCCATCCTGTGGACAGTAGCACAACAGCATATGGATACACAAAAGGCCTATGAACTAGGCCCCAAAAGGGTTAACAGGAATATATCTGGAATTTGTAACTGAGACAAATACTGAATTAAATTATAAATATTGTATAAATTACTGAGAATTTTGAAAATATACAATAAACAAAAGTAATCAATTAAAATATAATTTTTAATTGAAGAACATGAGAAACTTAATACAGTATAAAAAAAAAACTCACCTTAACTTGGAATTCATCACCAATTGAGATTTTATCAATCTCTATTAAATCAAAGACGACATCCTCCTTGATATCCTTGTTATACTCATAGTACTGCTGAGCTCTCTGTGATCCACGAATAGCATTGTGGATAGCCAGGCGCTCTGCCTCAGTACCTTCATCATTCTTGTACTCACTCAATATATCTTCTTGATCTTCATCACCAACATCGTCCTCTTTACCAGGGGTCTTTGTCAGGATCTGAAACCAGTGTTATTTTCCAGATAGTCTGAATTATTTATTGTTTCAATATATAAAAAACTGGCTATTTAAGCAGAGCATCTTCTGAAGTGTGATATCAGTTCACCTCTGTATTATTATTTTTATATTTATAGGAGGGGAGGAGCACAAAAACCCATAGGGGTCATATAGCGCCTGGGGAGATGGAAGGCATTCTGGCTCAATTCAAGGAACTGGAACACAGGTCCAATTCTTTAGATCAAGAACCATCCACCAGTATCAAGAACCCTCCTTTGAGGGTAGCACACTTCTAAAAAAGATAGCAACTGAGTGAATGACAGTGAATATATTTCTTCTTTTTAACTGTCAAAATCTGCATTACTTCTATTTATTTTGGAATATCCTACCTCAGTGGAAGATGGCTTGTTTTAACAAAAATTTAATTACAAGTTAGATTAGAAGGAGGTACAGGGTGCTACAGGTATTATCCAGAGGGCTGAGGAGGGGTTATTGGGGTGATTTGGAAATTTAGAGACGATGGAGCAAAATAGGATGACTTGGAGAGTGTATAAATCTATATTGGAGGGAAGGAGAGGGTGAGTTCATCCTAGGAAAAGGTTAAAGGGGTGGGGGGTAAAGGAGGTTTTGGAGTGAGTGGAGACAGGTGGTTTTATTACCTGACATGCTGTTGGAGTCTGAGCAAAGTAACGTTTATGAAGGGATTCAGGAAAACTGGTTAGCCAGACTTGAGTCCTGGGGTGGGAAGTACAGTGCCTGAACTCTGAAGGAGGGGTGGAGATATCTGCAGTTTTGAACTGCAGTATTGGTGCCCCTCTAGCAAGACAGTGATGGAGTGAATGACAGTGAAAGCTTTTTTTTTTCTTTTTTTTTTTGGGGGGGGGGGGGTCACCCTGCCTCAGTGGGAGATGGTCAGTTTGTTGAAATAATAATAATAATAATAATAATAATAATAATAATAATAATAATAATAATAATAATAATAATCATAATACTACTACTACTACTACTACTACTACTACTAATAATAATAATAATAATAATAAATAATTCACAAGTGCTCACACACCGAGCCATCAATGCAACAACAATAATGAAGTAAAAAAAAATACTAAAATTTATATTCAAGAGTGATAGTATGATCATCAGAATCATAAGCCATAGCAGCAAATACTGTTAATCAACTGTTGTCGGCCTCATCCTGAAAAGGGTGAGATATATGGTCAAGTCTCATTACACCGGCTGCGCCTGTTCACCAAACAATAAATAGATACCTGGGTGCTGGCAGACATGTGAGCCACATCCTATAAGAGGGTAGTATGTGTATCTTAGGAGAGCACAAGCCTTGAAGTCAACTGAAGTAGGATAACTTCTTAATTTTGTTTTTTAACACACTGGCTATTTTGAATCTAGGCAGGGTGACCCGAAAAAGAAACACATTCACCATCATTCACACTATCACTGTCTTGCCAGAGGCACGCAGATACAACAGTTTAGATGTCCCTCTAAACAGAAAATATCCCAAACCCCTCTTTTGGAGTGCAGGTACTGTATTTTCCACCTCCAGGAGTTAAGTCTGGTTAATCTATAAATTAAATTATGTAAAGAAGCAAGTTCTACACTCACCAGACCAACATAATAATAATAATAATCTACACTCACCAGACGACCAATGTGGTACTGGTTCATCTTCATACGACGCCAGCCCCAGTCACTCTGTGGGTCCTCTCCCCAGTGCATCACATCAGCATTGACTTCAGCAAACACAAATGAAGCATCATAGTTTAGACCGATGTCACCACGTCTAATGGCTTGCAAAGATACTGGTCCACACTGCATCTTGTCTGGAAGAAAATACATTCACTATTAAAAACTGACAATAGTGAAATGCACTGTGTATGGTACTGTATTAGTTGGAAGGTGGTAAAGATTCCAACAGGTACAGTAGTAAAATTATTCTAATAGATTAAATTTTTACTTGAACGTTTTACTCACAGGAAAACAAATTAGCTGGACTTGAGTCTTGGAGGTGAGAAGTACAGTGCCTGCACTCAGAAGGTGGGGTGGGGATGTTGTTATTCAGGGGATATATGAATTGTGATGTCCAGGCACCTCTGGCAAGAAAGTTTATTGAATATACAATAGCAAACATGCTCCTTTCCCAAACTGAAACATCCACACCATTTCTTCAGAGTGAAAGTACAGCCCTTCCCATCTCCAGGATTCAAGTCAGTCTAACCAGTTTCACTGAATCTTCATAAATATTACTTTGCTCACATTCCAACAGCATGTCCAGCTATAAAACTTGCTTGTCTCCATGCCAATCTAAAACACTCAAACAAGCCAGCCCATGATGACACTCTTCAGGTCACTTGTTCTATCTAGGCTGGAATATTGCTGCACACTAACAGCACCTTTCAAGGCAGGTGAAATTGCCGACCTAGAAAATGTACAGAGAACTTTCACGGCGCGCATAACGGAGATAAAACACCTCAATTATTGGGAGCGCTTGAGGTTCCTAAACCTGTATTCCCTGGAACGCAGGAGGGAGAGATACATGATTATATACACCTGGAAAATCCTAGAGGGACTAGTACCGAACTTGCACACGAAAATCACTCACTACGAAAGCAAAAGACTTGGCAGACGATGCACCATCCCCCCAATGAAAAGCAGGGGTGTCACTAGCACGTTAAGAGACCATACAATAAGTGTCAGGGGCCCGAGACTATTCAACTGCCTCCCAGCACACATAAGGGGGATTACCAACAGACCCCTGGCAGTCTTCAAGCTGGCACTGGACAAGCACCTAAAGTCAGTTCCGGATCAGCCGGGCTGTGGCTCGTACGTTGGTTTGTGTGCAGCCAGCAGCAACAGCCTGGTTGATCAGGCTCTGATCCACCAGGAGGCCTGGTCACAGACCGGGCCGCGGGGGCGTTGACCCCCGGAACTCTCTCCAGGTAAACTCCAGAGGTCCAAGTCCCTAACATTTATAAACCTCCATTACTCTCTACTTCCAATCCCCTCAAGGAAGGTTCCTTGACGCTGGTGAGGGGCTCTTGATCTAGAGAACTGGATCTGTGCTCCAGTTCCCCGAATTAAGCCTGAATACCTTTCACATCCCCCCCACAGGTGCTGTATAATCCTACGGGTTTAGCGCTTCCCCTTTATAATAATAATAATAATAATAATAATCTACTTCCAATTATTTCTGAAATTATTTCTACCTCCTTCTACCCTGCTCCATACTCTCTAAATGATCAGCCTGGTGGATCAGGCCCTGATCCACCAGGAAGCCTGGTGAAAGACTGGGTATTGGAGGCATTGACCCCCAGAATGACCTCCAGGTAGACTCTAGGCAGGCAGGTAGACCTCAACAACTACTCCTTAGCCCTTGGATGGGGTCACCTCTAGTAACCTAACACCATCACCTAATTTCTACAGTATTAATGTGATTATAAACATTGTTTTACTTGAAATCCAAGCAGGTTTTGAACTTTTTATGAATAAAAGAGCAATAGTTACTAGAAAATAATACATATTTGATCTAGAATCTCATGTTCTAGATTTGAAGTACAATATACAAAAAAATAAATTTCAGAGAGGAAACCTTAAAGTGGGTTATTTGTGAACCATTCCAGCCATAGTATTATGACTTCTTCTTCTTCTTTGTAGTGAACTAGTGAAATTCATACTTTTACAGTGCAGATCATAGTTGTCATTAATTAAGACATTAATTTAAAAAACTGGCCAATTAGACATGAAGACTGACAGTGCCTGATATATAAAGCTTCTCTCCTTTTTCCTGCCTTTTATACCTACTGCATATACAGTACTGAGGATTGTATCTATTGCAAATACAGTACTGAGGATTGTATCTATTGCATATACAGTACTGAGGATTGTATCTATTGCATATACAGCACTGGGGATTGTATCTATTGCATATACAGCACTGGGGATTGTATCTATTGCATATAAAGTACTGAGGATTGTATCTATTGCATATAAAATACTGAGGATTAAAACTATTTCTGTATTTTAAAATACTACTACTACAACTTTCAATGTGCTTTAATCTTGTGTACTTATAAACAATGGTCAAAAACCCAAATTAAATTGAGCATTAACAATGAAAATTAGCTTTCACTGATATGACTGAGGCAGTGCACAGGTCAGGTTAGGTTAGGCATGATATGTTAGGAAACAGGACAAGCGTTTCCTGACGCAGGTCTTAGTTATATGATGACCCGCCACGGCAGCTTTTGGTCATCTGACTGAGGCCTTCCACTGCTTACCAGTCAAACTGAGATTAATTCTAGTGCAAGTGTGCAGTTCATCTTTGTCATTAATAATGCCTGGCTGAATGATATTATTCAGTATTATAATAATAATAAAATTTATAATCTACTTCCTTAAATACAGGCCCACCTTATAGAATAACACATTGTAATTATTTAATCTTCAACCAAAATTCTTTACTTACGATCACTTTCTTCCTGAGGTGTGGCATCAATAGCCTGCCAGCCTCCATAACCTGGTGGAAGATCATGCCTTGTCATCCACACATCATTCCACACATGGAAATTCCAAATGGAATCATGACTCTCACCATCTGGTCCACCTTCCAGCTCTTTGCCCTCCGTGTTGAAGAACTTATCAACGGTGAGGGAGGAATTGGTGTCATGAGCAGAGACAAAGTTGGTGACAGATCGGCAAGGTATGCCCAGAGCTCGGCAAACTGAGGAGAGAGAGAGAAAATGTGTTACTGTGCAGAACAATTTTCACAATGCTGAGCCTCACACGCTGAGTGACTGTGGTTCAGTCACTGGAATGGGTGAAAACATTGGACATGTTGCCTTACACCTGCTGCCACTGTTTGCTTAGTAATAAGTAGGTACCTGGATGTTAGTTGACTAGTGTAGGTCACATCCTGGGGGACAAATTAAAGGACCCCAATGAAAATAAGACAGACAGTATGTACTCGATAATGCACGGACTTTCTTGGGTTCCTGGGTACCTAACACTCCGGGTTAAAAATCTGAATAAATCTTATCTTATATCCCATTCTATACTATTTACTATTTCATATATGTTGTCTTCTACCTCCTTATAAGTTTGTGTATGTAATAGACCAATCTATAACTAGTAGTTTAATATAAATATATTCTCAAGTTTGTCTGACAAGCATTACATATAATTGGCTTTTCCATATACAACAGAAAAACATATAATGCAAAACTAGGTAAAGCCATAGAATATAAACTTGATGAACATCAAAATGGTATACAATACCAACTTGATTTATTTAAAGATCTTGATACAAGAAAAGGGGTTACTAGTCCCTTGATCCTGGCATTTTAGTCACCTTTTATGAAAAGCACTGCACATGAAGGACAAATTCTACTCCACTTTCCCATGGAATAATAACAGAGAGATACATATAATATCCCACACAATCCTAAAATGCTCTGTATAACCAAGGGCTTTCTATAGGGAGGTCTGGTCAGGGCCTGGACTGTGGAGGTGTTGCCCCGGAACACCCTCCAAGTAGACTACAGATAGACTCTAGGTTTCCAAAGGAACAATTAAATGTTATCCAAACCATACCACGGGCGGAGATACAACCCACAATCAGAGAGTCATAAAACTCCAGACTGATGCACTAGACACTTGCTAGCTCGTCGGTCTGGAGTTTTGTTTGCAATCGTGTCATTGCGATTTTGTGAGTCATGTTATCCAATCTTGTAAAAACTATGCATTTTGTGGACACTAAGAATTTATTTATTTTACACACAGATTTCTGATCTAGTGAACAGGGTAACTGAACTAGAAAAAAAGTGAACAAGTTAAAAGCATGGAAAACAAAAACTCTCAAACAAAAAATTACACCAAAATTCTACAAACCGGAAAACACTCATTGATGCTCAGTTATGTGATCAGTTAATCTATCAATTTACTTCCACACAATACATCTTTTGTATAAAATTGTACAACATTACATCTCTCACACAGAAAGCCCCTTTGTCATGCAGAGCATATCTAAAAGGGCCATAGTATTTTACATATAAGACAATAACGATTTTCAAAATAAACTAGATAACATGAATTTAAACAAATATATATGTATATGAATGAAGATGAAAGTGTTTCTTTCTGTTTTTGGGGGGTTACCCGGCCTCAGTGGGAGACGGCCAACGTGTTGAAAAATAAAAGTATATGAAGCAGATAAAATCATAACAATGTATCCTCTAATGTATCTTATCTTAATGTATCTTCTTGAGAAATAATATTATTGGATGTTATCAGTATCCTTCACAATGAATTCTTAATCACATCACATTCTTCAAGGAATAGTTCCTTAGTGCTGGTGAACTGCCTTTGATCCAAGAAACTGGATCAAACCTGATCAATCTCCAATGCCCCAGGTGCAGCATAACCCTTGTGGGTTTAGCTCTTCCTAATGATAATAGTGGTAACATATTACCAAAATAAAAGGAAACACATTCACCATCATTCAATGAATCACTGTCTTGCCTGAAGCATGATGATGTCACACCTCAGATGATCCTCTGAACTGCAACATCCAAATCCCTCCTTCAGAATGCAAGCACTGAACTTTCCACCTCCAGGACTCAAGGCTGCCTAATTGGTTTTTCCCAAATCCCTTCACAAATGCTACTTTGCTCGCACTCTAGTTATGTAATCATATTTCCGATCTCTACCTGTAGTAACGACAGCAGAGAAGACCCAACACTGTCCGTACTTCACAGGCTGATATCCGTTCTTAACAAAATCCTCCATGATTCTGACACTACCGGTCCACTTGAATGGAGCCACACCGTCACTATACTCGCCATCCCAGCGACCTTGTAGGATACCTCCCTCATCAGTGTCATTGACCTAAAAGAAACACACATTATAATAATTAATTATAATCTCTGATCAATATAATAATAATTAATATAACAACTTGGATGTTATAATTCTAGGATACCTGTTCTTTAGAGAATTTGCACATCAAACCATAAATACAACAACTATGATAAAAAATAATACTGAAGTTAATTTTCAAGAGCGACATTTTCAACTGATTCTAGTGAGGATCTCATCATCCAAGGAATTAAAGCTGTACTACCATTCCATAGATCAAACAATTAATTGCAGGACACATGTATATAGTATAAATTTATAGAAAAGAGCCTCCCTTTCAACAAACTGGCCGTATCCCACCAAGGGAGGGTGGCCCAAAAAGAAAAATGAAAGTTTCTCTTTTTAAATTTAGTAATTTATACAGGAAAAGGGGTTACTAGCCCCTTGCTCCTGGCATTTTATTCACCTCTTACGACACATGGCTTATGGAGGAAGAATTCTGTTCCACTTCCCCACGGAGATTATAGAAAAGATATTTACATAAAAATAATATTTCCACAATACAAAATCAAATTGGGGAGGAGGAGTAAGGAAAAAGTGAATGTTTTCAGATACTTGGGAGTTGACGTGTCGGCGGATGGATTTATGAAGGATGAGGTTAATCATAGAACTGATGAGGGAAAAAAGGTGAGTGGTGCGTTGAGGTATATGTGGAGTCAAAAAAACGTTATCTATGGAGGCAAAGAAGGGAATGTATGAAAGTATAGTAGTACCAACACTCTTAAATGGGTGTGAAGCTTGGGTGGTAAATGCAGCAGCGAGGAGACCGTTGGAGGCAGTGGAGATGTCCTGTTTAAGGGCAATGTGTGGTGTAAATATTATGCAGAAAATTCGGAGTGTGGAAATTAGGAAAAGGTGTGGAGTTAATAAAAGTATTAGTCATAGGGCAGAAGAGGGGTTGTTGAGGTGGTTTGGTCATTTAGAGAGAATGGATCAAAGTAGAATGACATGGAAAGCATATAAATCTATAGGGGAAGGAAAGAGGGGTAGGGGTCGTCCTCGAAAGGGTTGGAGAGAGGGGGTAAAGGAGGTTTTGTGGGTAAGGGGCTTGGACTTCCAGCAAGCGTGCGTGAGCGTGTTAGATAGGAGTGAATGGAGACAAATGGTATTTGGGACCTGACGATCTGTTGGAGTGTGAGCAGGGTAATATTTAGTGAAGGGATTCAGGGAAACTGGTTATTTTCATATAGTCGGACTTGAGTCCTGGAAATGGGAAGTACAATGCCTGCACTTTAAAGGAGGGGTTTGGGATATTGGCAGTTTGGAGGGATATGTTGTGTATCTTTATATGTGTATGCTTCTAAACTGTTGTATTCTGAGCACCTCTGCAAAAACAGTGATAATGTGTGAGTGTGGTGAAAGTGTTGAATGATGATGAAAGTATTTTCTTTTTGGGGATTTTCTTTCTTTTTTGGGTCACCCTGCCTCGGTGGGAGATGGCCGACTTGTTGAAAAAAAAAAAAAAAATCAGTGTTGCCTGAGAGCTACTTACTCCGGCGGAAATTCCTCGTACGACCTGGACTGGGTTGCCACGTTCAGGATCGGCCACTCTGCTCAGTTCCAGGATGTACACAGCTACAGGAAGAACCACATCGTCAAACTGGCCATAAGCCCAAGGACGTCCACGAGATTTTCTGTAAGTGCCAACATAGACCTTGCCCTTGTCGTTCATCACATATTCCTCCCTGTTGGTTTCATTATCCATGTACACTCCATCATCTGAAAATATATTTTATTAATGCACTATATTTACTGTAACAACAAATTATAGTGTAAAAATTATTTTCAGCAAAGGTCAAAGTAATGAAATACCGTATAGTGATTTAACTGACTAACTGGGGGAGCAGGTGACCAGTAATAGTAACCGTCGTATGTAAAGGTGAGACTATTTTGCTGTGATTGTGTCTAACAAAAAGTTAATTCTTTAACTAACATGCTCCGTTGATTCCAAATCAATTGACCCAGTGGATTTTGTTCAGCACGGAATGTATTTCCAAAGTCCATTAAATTGAGGATTTTCTACTGTACTGTACTGTAACTTTAGCAATTATTGATAGTTGGCCCTTCAAGGGGTAGGAGAGCACCTTGATCCTGCTGAAGAGCCCTTAATCCAGACAATTAGAGCTACCCTCCCTTTCAGATTCAAGACCCCTTTGGGTTTAGTGCTTCATCACGAGTATAATACTGCAATTATACAAGTTTTAAAGTGCAAATATGTTTAAAATTTGGAACCAGTCAAAAAAATACCTGTTCTCTACATCTTTAATAACAATAAAATCATGAAATAATGTAACTGAAGGGAAAGAAAGGAAATGACTCAAGGACTGAATACTAACTGATAAGATTTTAAATAATGTAACTGAAGGGAAAGAAAGGAAATGACTCAAGGACTGAATACTAACCGATAAGATTTTAAATAATGTAACTGAAGGGAAAGAAAGGAAATGACTCAAGGACTGAATACTAACTGATAAGATTTTAAATAATGTAACTGAAGGGAAAGAAAGGAAATGACTCAAGGACTGAATACTAACCGATAAGATTTTAAATAATGTAACTGAAGGGAAAGAAAGGAAATGACTCAAGGACTGAATACTAACTGATAAGATTTTAAATAATGTAACTGAAGGGAAAGAAAGGAAATGACTCAAGGACTGAATACTAACTGATAAGATTTTAAATAATGTAACTGAAGGGAAAGAAAGGAAATGACTCAAGGACTGAATACTAACTGATAAGATTTTATAATAAAATTAAATGTAACGTATAGGTGTAACAACATTATTCAATATAATGTAATATTCTGTAATTCTGTAAGATATTTTAAATGCATTTTTGGATTTTTTCCACACGTACGGTACCAATGACATGCAGAATGAAAATCACAATACCACAATTGGAATCATTCTCTACTAACTCTCAATTTAGAAATGAAAACTAGACAACATTTTGGGCCATTCTGGACCATAAGCAAGTCGCATGTGGTCTGAGATAGACCGAGCTGTTGACTAGTTTTCAATTTCAATTTGTGGGCCAGTTGTGACCAACAGTAAGTGCAAAACAATTAACGTTGCTCCATGAAACCCCCAGTGGGTGAAAAATTGTAAAATACAAAAAAAAAAATTCTTGGCTATAACAGCATTACATCTATTTAATTTTTTGTAATATCAAGTCTGCCCAATATACTATACATACTATAATGTTTTCCATAAAACTGCAAGATGTATAATTTTTTTCAATATAAAGTATTTTCATTGTATTTCTATCTTTGTTGTGAATATAATAGTAAGTCCTCAATTAAATGGCTAATAGGAGAAAGTAGGTAGCTAGTACAGTATTAGCATTTGCAATAGATACAGAGATAAGATTGTTTTGCCATGATCATAAAAATAATGGGCAATTCTGTAACAAAAGGATTCTGTCCATTTCTGAATTAACTGACCCAGAGAATTTTGTACCCTATTTCCGAAATTCCTTAAATAAAAAACAATCAAATTTAAGATTTCCCGTAATAGCCTCAATCAGCTTACAACCAGTCTTCCATAATGTTATTTATGCTAACCTTTGCACCAAGGATTGAAGAGAACAAAGACATCAGTTTCATCAGAGTACAGGTTCATTGCTCGACCAAGGCTTATATCCTGCAGACCACTGCGCACATCTAAGCGCCATATGCCTACCATGGCAGTTGCTGGAATGTAGATCTGAAACACAAACCAAAGTGATTTAAATGAGGCTATCCTTAGTTATGACCACAGACTGTATAAGGAGTACTGAGGCGCAATCCTGTGACATCACTCCCTTCGAAGAAGATGTCACTCCCTTCAAGGGAGTGATGTCTTTAGACTGGTGAGAGGCTCCTGAGGTACAGAGTTAGAGATACCCTGACCTTCCTCACATTCCTCAGTCACTGTATGTCCCCTACAGCTTCACTATAACATAAAAATGGGGCCAGGAGCTGAGTCTTGGCCTCTGAAAGTACAACTAGGTGGGTGGCCTGTGGCCTGGTAGGCAACGCTCTCGCTTCACATGCTGAGTGTCCATGGTTTGATCCCCAGTGGAAACATTGGTCGTGTTTCCTTATACCTGTTGTCCCGTTCACCTAGAAAGCAAGTAGGTACCTGCATGTTAGTCAACTGGTATGGGTGGCATCCTGGGGGACAAAATTGAGGACCCATATGGAAATAAGACAGACAGTCCTCGATGATGCACTGCTTTTCTTGGGTTATCCTGGGTGGCTAACCCTCCGAGGTTAAAATTCTGAACAAAATCTCATTTTATCTCTTAACTTACAGTATTAATAATAACTGTGATCTCATTCACCCATGACCTGTACTCCTTACACAATTTATAATTTCAAAATATTATGTAATTCTCATTTCAGTGACCATAGCATAAAAAATAAGCATTTATATCAAATATGATGACGTTGAATACTAAAATAATATTTTAACACACTGGCTGTCTCCCACCAAGGCAGGGTGACCTGAAAAAGAAACACTTTCACCATCATATCTGCACGCCAGAGGTGTGCAGGTATGACAGTTTAGATGTCACTCTAAACGGCAAATATCCCAAACCCCTCCTTTAAAGTGTAGACACTGTACTTCCCACCTCCAGGACTCAAGTCCAACTAACCAAAAATGATGAGTTTAAATATAAAATACACAAATAACCCACATATAGGAGAGAAAAAGTTTATGACAACATTTTGGTCTGACTTGAACCCTTTAAAAAGTTACACTAACACAAAAGAGAGAGGAAGCCAGTATGATGGCCCGGTGGTCTGGTGGCTAAAACTCCCGCTTCACACACGGAGGGCCCGGGTTCGATTCCCGGCGGGTGGAAATTCCGACACATTTCCTTACACCTATTGTCCTGTTCACCTAGCAGAAAATAGGTACCTGGGTGTTAGTCGACTGGTGTGGGTCGCATCCTCGGGGACAAGATTAAGGACCCCAATGGAAATAAGTTAGACAGTCCTCGATGACGCACTGACTTTCTTGGGTTATCCTGGGTGGCTAACCCTCCGGGGTTAAAAATCCGAACGAAATCTTATCTTATCTTATCTCTTATACGTATACTGGAGACCGAAACATTGTCGTAAGCTTCCTTCTTCTATGTGTGGGTTGTGTATTGTTCCAGTCCCAATATTGTGCCTTTTTTGTTCTAAATATAAAATACTGTGCAAAATCCTCACCTGCAACACAAGATCTTTGCCCCGGCTGCCAGGGTCAATACGACAATCCCAGTCGTTCTTGGTTTTAGTAAATTTGTCATTCTCCACAGTTACTACAGCCATTGTTCCCTTCTGAACTGCTGGTTTAGCTCCTGTGGAGAGGAAAAAAAGTTATGTGTATTTTACAGTAGACTGATGTTGACTCATAAAATCATAATAAACTATTGCAAACAAATCACAGAATGGATGGGGTTTGAACCCATAGCAAGTAAGTCTTAAAACTCACAGGTCAGTGCGTTGACCACTTGACCAGGATGAGTGGTTAACGCACTGGCCTGAATCTCGCTGAGTCCCATAAAACTGTGGCCCGGTGGCCTGGTGGCTAAAGCTCCCGCTTCACACACGGAGGGCCCGGGTTCGATTCCCGGCGGGTGGAAACATTTCGACACGTTTCCTTACACCTGTTGTCCTGTTCACCTAGCAGCAAATAGGTACCTGGGTGTTAGTCGACTGGTGTGGGTCGCATCCTGGGGGACAAGATTAAGGACCCCAATGGAAATAAGTTAGACAGTCCTCGATGACGCACTGACTTTCTTGGGTTATCCTGGGTGGCTAACCCTCCGGGGTTAAAAATCCGAACGAAATCTTATCTTATCTTATCTTAACTGAATCTTGCAAAAATGAATCATGCAAAAGTGAATCTTGTAAAAGTGAATCAGACATTCACCATATACGTAAATTTGGACCCTAATAGTACATGTATCAAACGTGCAAAACTGAATCAGGCATCCATTACATAAATTTGTACCCTTTATTTATTTATTTAATGATAAACCTCACTTAATTTGAAGTTGAAAAAGTTTATTCACCAACAAAAAATGACAAATCTTATGAAATTTGAAGTTGAAAAGATTTATTCATCAACCAAAAATGATAAACCTCACCAAACTTAAAGTTGAGCACAACACGATCCTTTGCAATATCGAAGTCATTGTGGAACCTAATAGCCAGGTAGAAGGCCTGTCCACGACGCAACACTGGCTTGGGGTCCTTTGTGTCGTGCACCAGATCGTACTTGATGGTCCTGTGGGTTTTGGCATTATCCTTAATGTACCAGTGGAGGCGGTCCACCTTGTTGGCTGAAGTGGGTGCTGGAAACAAATGTACAGTATATTAAAAAAGTCACACTAACAGAGGTGGAGCAGGAGCTTACGACGACGTTTCGGTCCGACTTGGACCATTGACAATGGTCCAAGTCGGACCGAAACGTCGTCGTAAGCTTCTCTCTTTTATGTGCGGGTTATTTGTGTATCGTTCCAGTCACGGTATTGTGCCTTTTTGTTATTTATTTACAGTATATTAATATTGGTGCATAACTCAGCTCAAACTTAATACAACAGTGAGTTTTAAATTAATACAACAGTGTATTAAAAGTTAATACAAAAGTGAATTATTAATACAAGTGAATTATAAATACAATAGTGAATTGAAAGTTAATACAGTAGTCAGCTGAGTTAATACAATAGTAATTCAAGCTAATGCATAGCTTTATTATATGACTTAAAAGTTAATACATTAATGTATCAATTTAATACATTAATTCACTACAATTTTTTCTTTACCAATACATATATTTAATACATTAATCTAGTTCATAGATCACATCCGGCCACTCAGAAATCATTCAAATATAATTTTACTGTCCGATCTTTATGTTATTTGAATACCATTATTTAATATTTTTTAAAATAATAACTTTGACACAAGGCTGTGAAAAAAAAAACTTATTTTTTTTACGTTTTTCGGCTTCCAGTTCATCCTGTCTTCGTCTGTCAATAGTACGAGCATAGTTGGCCCTCAGACTGTTGATCCAATTGTTGTTGGCAGCTGTGTCTACGGCCATGGTGAATTGATCTGTGGCAAGGAATAACTTATTTTAGCTGTCTGACAATAATAATAATAATAATAATAATAATAATAATAATAATAATAATAATAATAATAATACTGTAATAATCTTTTATTTCTACAAGTACGTACATGATGCAACTTATACAGACCATAGCTGACATAAGTAAGTAAGTAAGTTTATTCAGGTATACACAAATACAGTTACATATAATTATCATACATAACAGCATATGTGTAGAGAACCTGGGATAACCCCAAAAAGTCAGACAGAGTGACTTATTTCCATTTATTTTCCATCAATGATGTACTACTATATAGAAAGTCCCTTGTTATGCTGAGCATTTCCCATAAATTAGGTCAATTTTGTCCCAGGATGTGACCCACAATAGTGGACTAACACCCAGGTACCTATTTTACTGCTAGGTGAACATGAACAGTAGGTGTCTTAAGGAAACACATCCTAATGTTCCACTCGTACCGGGGATTGACCCCCGGGCCTTTTCAGGTCACCTGCCTTGGTGGGAGGCGGCTGGTGTGTTGAAAGGAAAAAAAATATTTTTTTTTAATCCTTATTTTAGGGATTACAGTATTCTTGACTGATGGTGACCCAGTGACATGTAGCTTTGATCACCCTCATCTTGTCTTTAGGTTTTAAACATAATTAACTAATTTGCTGTGAGACAATCGGTTAATTAACTAGCTGTGAGAAAATCAGGTTTATATACAGCCAATCTTTCATGTGTTTTACTGGCAGCATGTGTTTTACTGACAGATTAGTATGAGTATTCTGGCCCGGTGGTCTGGTGGCTAAAGCTCCCGCTTCACACACGGAGGGCGCGGGTTCGATTCCCGGCGGGTGGAAACATTTCGACACGTTTCCTTACACCTATTGTCCTGTTCACCTAGCAGCAAATAGGTACCTGGGTGTTAGTCGACTGGTGTGGGTCGCATCCTGGGGGACAATGGAAATAAGTTAGACAGTCCTCGATGACGAACTGACTTTCTTGGGTTATCCTGGGTGGCTAACCCTCCGGGGTTAAAAATCCGAACGAAATCTTATCTTATCTTATCTTATGGGCAAGTGTTCCGTACACTCCAACAATAACATGCGCAGAAAACATGACTTGGATTGAAATAAGTCACATAAACAATGTCTTATTTCCAGGAGAGGCTCTACTATGGAACTAATTCTTTCAAGGGAGGTTCCTTGATGCTGGTGAGGGGCTCTTGTTCTAGGGAATTAGATCTGTGCTCCAGTTCCCTGAATTGAATATCTTCCATCCCTCCCCCACATGCGCTGTATAATCCTACGGGTTTAGCGCACCCCCATGATTATAATAATAATATGGAACTAATGAAGATTAAACTTCAGGGCCCCTAATCCCTAATGTTGTTATGTATGATAATTTATGTAACTGTATTTATGTATACATAAATAAACTTACTATCCCAGTGTTAATAAGTCACTTAGTTTGACTTTCTTGGATTATCATAGGTAATTTACACACATATGTTGTTATGTATGATAATTTATGTAACTGTATTCATCTGTACCTATACCTAAATAAACTTACTTATGGATATATGTAGTATATGTGACTTCCCCCCCCCCTTTTACTGTGAGAAATAAGGGGTCACAACCCCCCAGCTTTCTCCTTGTTGGAGATAATTTCTGCACAAGTATAATGAACCTTAATAAAGCTAATGGCAGAAAAAGTAAGTAAGCAAGTAGATATATAAAGATTGATGCTGATAAGTAAGTTTATTTAGGTACAGGTACATATAAATAGCTACATAAATTATCACACATAAGTAATATATGTGTAAATTACCTAGGATAACCCCCGAAAAAAGTCAAAGTGCTTTATTTCCATTGGAGATAAGAATGTATAGAGCAAATGTTAATAGCAGAGGACATCAAGGTTCATGGTATGGAGGACTAACCACTGCCTAGCTGCCTAGCTGCCTAGCTGCCTAGCTGTCTAGCTGCCTAGCTGCCTAACTGCCTAGCTGCCTAGCTGCCTAGCTGCCTAGCTGCCTATCTGCCTAGCTGTCTAGCTGCCTAACTGCCTAACTGCCTAGCTGCCTAACTGCCTAGCTGCCTAGCTGCCTAGCTGCCTAGCTCAAATATATCTTTCTCGCAGATCTTGAAAACTTAAGACTTGATCTTTGTTTTATCTTCTTATTTTCATTGTTCTCATTTTAATGTTCGTTTCTGTAATTCTTGTTCTATCTGGATAATTGAGATTACAATAGTATAGCAAAAGGCTCTCTCCCCATCCTCCTTATTAATTAAAGCCTAGAGGTAAGAAAGATTATGGACAGACAGGAAGTAAGAAGATTGTTGGTAGACAGGAAGATAGATGTAAGAAGATTGTTGGTAGACAGGAAGATAGATGTAAGAAGATTGTTGGTAGACAGGAAGATAGATGTAAGAAGATTGTTGGTAGACAGGAAGATAGAAGTAAGACTGTTGGTAGACAGGAAGATAGAAGTAAGACTGTTGGTAGACAGGAAGATAGAAGTAAGAAGATTGTGGGTAGACAGGAAGATAGATGTAAGAAGGTTTTTGGTAGACAGGAAGATAGAAGTAAGAAGACTGTTGGTAGACAGGAAGATATAAGTAAGAAGATTGTTGGTAGACAGGAAGATAGAAGTAAGAAGATTGTGGGTAGACAGGAAGATAGATGTAAGAAGGTTTTTGGTAGACAGGAAGATAAAAGTAAGAAGACTGTTGGTAGACAGGAAGATAGAAGTAAGAAGATTATTGGTAGACAGGAAGATAGAAGTAAGACTGTTGGTAGACAGGAAGATAGAAGTAAGAAGATTGTGGGTAGACAGGAAGATAGATGTAAGAAGATTGTTGGTAGACAGGAAGATAGAAGTAAGAAGATTGTTGGTAGACAGGAAGATATAAGTAAGAAGATTGTTGGTAGACAGGAAGATAGAAGTAAAAAGATTGTGGGTAGACAGGAAGATAGATGTAAGAAGATTGCAGGTAGATAGAAAGAAAGAAGTAAGAAAATTGTGGTTAGACAGGAAGAGAGAAGTAAGACTGTGGGTAGACAGGAAGACAGAAGTAAGACTGTGGGTAGACAGGAAGACAGAAGTAAGACTGTGGGTAGACAGGAAGACAGAAGTAAGACTGTGGGTACATAGGAAGAGAGAAGTAAGATTGTGGGTACACAGGAAGAGAGAAGTAAGACTGTGGGTATACAGGAAGAGAGAAGTAAGACTGTGGGTACACAGGAAGAGAGAAGTAAGACTGTGGGTACACAGGAAGTGAGAAGTAAGACTGTGGGTACACAGGAAGAGAGAAGTAAGACTGTGGGTACACAGGAAGAGAGAAGTAAGACTGTGGGTACACAGGAAGAGAGAAGTAAGACTGTGGGTACACAGGAAGAGAGAAGTAAGACTGTGGGTACACAGGAAGAGAGAAGTAAGACTGGGTACACAGGAAGAGAGAAGTAAGACTGTGGGTACACAGGAAGAGAGAAGTAAGACTGTGGGTACACAGGAAGAGAGAAGTAAGACTGTGGGTACACAGGAAGAGAGAAGTAAGACTGTGGGTACACAGGAAGAGAGAAGTAAGACTGTGGGTACACAGGAAGAGAGAAGTAAGACTGTGGGTACACAGGAAGAGAGAAGTAAGACTGTGGGTACACAGGAAGAGAGAAGTAAGACTGTGGGTACACAGGAAGAGAGAAGTAAGACTGTGGGTACACAGGAAGAGAGAAGTAAGACTGTGGGTACACAGGAAGAGAGAAGTAAGACTGTGGGTACACAGGAAAAGAGAAGTAAGACTGTGGGTACACAGGAAGAGAGAAGTAAGACTGTGGGTACACAGGAAGAGAGAAGTAAGACTGGGTACACAGGAAGAGAGAAGTAAGACTGTGGGTACACAGGAAGAGAGAAGTAAGACTGTGGGTACACAGGAAGAGAGAAGTAAGAAAAAATAGGTTAAAGTACCCTGACCACTTTGAGTGGGTTTTTTGTCACGTAGTGGCTAATTTTTTTTATGTGAGCTATTCATGCACTACACCCATAGGCGAATGGAAAGTAATTAGGTTTGATCCAAGGGAGAGGATGCATGCTCTAATTTCTTGGACCAAGAGCTCCCCGGCAGCGTGTAAGGAAACATGGTAACAAGTATTAAAGCTGAGAGGAAGTCACTAGGCTTCACTACCAGCCATGAACCTGTCCACCTCCCTCACCCCTGGTCCACCTCCCTCACCCCTGGTCCACCTCCCTCACCCCTGGTCCACCTCCCTCACCCTTGATTCAACTCCCTCACCCCTGATCCATCTCCCTCACCCCTGGTCCACCTCCCTCACCCCTGAGCCACCTCCCTCACTCCTGGCCCACCCCCTCACCCCTTGCCCACCCTCCCCCACACCAGGGAGAAAATAGCCTTCACTCATGAGGGCAAGATACTCATGTGCCCTTGTGAGTGGACTGCTGTGTACATGTGTATGAACTACTGTGCACATCGGCTGAACGTACGCACACATCAACTGAACTTATGTGTACATCAGGGGAATTCGTGCACATAAATTGAACTTATGTACACGTGGATGAGTACATGTGCACATAAACCAAACGTGTATGTACACGGGACTGAACGCACATCTACTTGGAGGGTGTTCCGGGGGTCGACGCCCTCGCGGCCCGGTCCTCGACCAGGCCTCCCAGTGGATCAGGGCCTTATCAACCAGGCTGTTACTGCCGGTGTATGCAATCCAACGTACGACCCACAGCCCTACTGATCGGGTACTGACTAGAGGTATCTGCCAGCTCCCTCTTGAAGACAGCCAGGGATCTATTGGTAATTCCCTTATGTATGATGGGAAGCAGGTGAAGAGTCTTGGGCCCCTAACACTTATTCTGTTATCCCTTAATGTACTCAAGGCGCCCCTGCTTTTCACTGAGGGTATGTTACACCGTCTGCCTAATCGTTTACTCTTGTAGGGAGTAATTTCTGTGTGCAGATTTGGGGGCCAGTC